AGCCCAACTATTCGCCCATGATTCCGGGCTCTAAAGTGAAGGTGAGCGTTGTAGCTGTTGCTGATGCTGCTGCTGAGTATCAGGTTTAATTGTTGACTGAGTTTAAACGTGTTTTTTGTTGTTGCAGGCTTACAAGAAGGGCCATTTTACTTTGCGAAAGAAGCGCTCCGATTTTGAGCTGACTGACTACGTCTGCCCGATGACGCCCGTTCTTTCTACTCGCAATAAGATCATCAATCTGATCAATGACGCCAAAAGCTCCCCTCAGGCAAACGAGCAGCTATACCAGAACATGAGCAGCAGTGGGGAGTGGAAAAACTTGCGTCGTCAGAACCCTTCCACAGCATCCGCCAGTGGATCCGGTCCGATTGACTTTGCGCCAAAGGAAAGCAGCAGCAGCAGTGCCGCCTCCATGTCTTCTTCAAACAAGAAAGAGGAGACGCATTCTGTTGATAGGTCGCCGTCGTCTGATATGACGACTAAATCTGATTCAGATCTAAATGAAGTATGCACTAACGATAAACCTATCAAGAAGGAAAGTGTGATTAGTTAATATGAACTGCACTTTAGTGCGTCTACAGTTCAAGTATTATGACACTACTTTCGTAATTTTTCCCCTGTATTTATTATCTTTTATTTATATATTTTATATCTAATTGTCTTTATTGTAATCTGATTCAATTACGAAATATTTTTTGAAAAATTTATTTACATGAAATAAATGAAAATGATCATTATCATCATCATCATCATCATCAACGGCAGTACAATGTTAAAGGCATTGTTCAACCATGGCCCCTAACGATGGCCAATTTGTCAACAGTTTGCCGAAGCACTGGATTCATTATCAGGCAGGCATAGCAATATAATTCGATAGCAAATCGAAGCAGAGCGATGAATGCGTCAATTTGATGGTTTTTTAGTTTCAGATGACTAATGGTGATCAGCACTGTGAGGATAGCTCACACTGGGCCCTTCTATCAGAGATGTCTCCTCGTGTCTGCTTCAGCAGTCGCCCAGTAAGTAGGTCAGTCAGAGCAGTCGGAATGGACATTGTGGAGTGGAAGGAGAGAGTTGACCGATTGCTGCTGCTGCTGTTCAATCAAACGATCGACTGGCTCATTCGCTTTCATTGGCACTCGGGGGAAAAGAGTAAAAAAGCTGTCCACTGGGCACTGCGGATTGTGTGGATTACGCCGGTCTGTCCATTGTCTGTCCCCTTTCCTCTATCCTATCCTCTCTGTCCCTCTCTACCCTTTGCCACGCGGCACTGGGCACACTGCCCACACTCGCACACATGTGCAAGTGACGGCTGACAGACGGACAGAGAGAAAAGGGGACCTAACGGTTTATGTGCGCAATCAGCACTGAAAGAGTGGCAGTATGACCACTTGTTGTCGCCAGTTGTGGCGCAATTTTTTTGGTCAGAACGGCAGCTGAAGCTGAAACTACTAAAAAGCGACTTTTTTCGCAAGCAAAATGAAATGAGCAACTCTTGGTTTGGTTTTATTTGAATTTTATTTTTATAGAAAATAAATGTGCATTTTATAAATAAATGATAAATATTACAAACAAATATAATATAATAGAATATAATATATAGAATACATATTTTATAGAATACACGGCCATAGCGGAGAGTAGAAAAGAGAAAGAGAGAAAAAAAGGTAGTAAATGGTTCGCGTTGGGCATTGGTTAGGGATCGTGTTTTGATCGTGGACAGTATCACTTGGGCCATGGTCAGACAAATATTCTCTACAAGGTGTATAGTCAGAAGTGTTTGTGGTGTGTGGTGTGTGTTTGTGTGTACAGTAAAGGAAAAAAGAGAAAAATGCGTCCCGCAGGAGAGAAGGTGCACTTCTCCTCAAGAGTTGAGTTTGTGTGTCTGTGGAAGGTATACCCGTATTAAAAATGATTTTGATTCTTGGTTGGACACAGCAAAATGTGGGTGCACAAAATGGCAGAAAGAGAAAGAGAATGACAAAAAATACAAGTGATCGAGGCGACCAGGTGACGCAAGGAGAGGAAAAAGAGTGTGTGGGCACACACCGAAACAACTGCTCCAATGAGGGTGAAGAGGGCTGAGAGAGAACGCGCTTGAGAAGGTGGTTTTCAACCAAACACTTCCACCAAGACGTTTCAAGGCGACCCCTTCATTGTTCCTCATTGACCAGAGCCAGTGCTGCGTCCACAAATGGCAAAGTGAGGTGATTAGAGGTGTCTAGGTTTGGCAAAGGTGACAAATACTTTGGACAAGTGAAGTGATGACTACGGTTGCAGAGGTATTACGAGAGAGAGTGGTGGTGGCGTGTTTGTACTTGAAACAGTCAAAGCGAGAACTAGAAAAATGAGGTAGCTCGAAAAGGGGGAAAACAAAATAAAAAAGATAAAGTGAGGAAAGGGAAAAAGAGAGGGAGATAGAAAAGAGAGGTTAAAGAAAGTAAANGACAGTCAAAGCGAGAACTAGAAAAATGAGGTAGCTCGAAGAGGGGGAAAACAAAATAAAAAGATAAAGTGAGGAAAGGGAAAAAGAGAGGGAGATAGAAAAGAGAGGTTAAAGAAAGTAAAGTTGAACAAGAGAAAAAGTGAGAAAGAGAACAATGATGCCAAAAAGGTGGTGGTCACTGGCTGAGAGACTCGCGCTTTTTGCGTAGTGCCGGACGAAGATGGTGGAAGATAATGAGCTCGAAGCAGTGGACAGAGATTGCAGACAGAGCGAGAGATGTTTTTGTTGTGACAAGAGAGTAAAGAAAGAGAGAGCGAAAGAGAGGGCAACATTAATTAGGTGTACATCAAAGCAGAGAAGCAAAGTAGCAATAAATATTGATCAAGTGGATTAGTACTGCATCGGCTTTGATGGCTCCATTGGCGCGACAAGTATTGCTGAGGTATATGGGCGGCTAATTAGTGATTAGTAGAAAAAGGAAGAAGAGATGTTCAAATCCAAATGGACAAAACAGAAAAGAGAAATGGTGAGAGTTAATCAGGATCAAAGACGACTCGGCGAAGGGAATCGAATTAGAATAAATATCAAACAAAGAAAATGGTAACAAAAGAAAGAAAAGGAAAGAAAGAGAGATCTACAGAGGACTGGTGATGATGGTGGTAGTGGTGGTACTGCTGCTGCTGCTGTCCTGCAAACTGAGCTCAACGTCCGTTAATTGCGCACCCGAATTGAAATGGCAAAACAAGAAGATAGAAGAGTAGGGTTTGATGATGGTCTGAGTGGTTGCAATGCACTGTCGGCATGGCAGAGAGTGAACAAGGAACAAGAGGGAAGAGAATTTGAGAAGCAAATGAGCAAGTGAGCGGAGGATGTGATTGGTCCAGAGATGATGATGATGCTCGCTCAGCAACAACAACAATGATGATGATGCACACTGTCCACTCTACTCATTGGCCAGCGCAGCCTCTGCGGACTGCATCTTTGACTCGCTGAGGGAGGTAATTCGAAGAGGCACTGAGGAGAGACTACCGTTCGTAGAGGGCACTTTCAGACTGTTCAAACTGTCCAGCTTTGCTCGAGCTCTAGCAAAAGCCTCCAGATTGTCGAAAAGGCTTCCGTTGCCGTTCTCCAGCAGGACGGCCTTCTTCTCGCCTGAGAGCTCGGAAAGGTTGGCGGCAAAGAGTGTCCTGGCGGTGTCTTTCGAGTGGCAGTGATTGTTGTTGTTGTTGTTGTTGTTGATATGATTGCTGGAATAGTGCTTGCCCACTGCGCTGTAGTGTTGTCGCTGCTTCCCACTGCCACCGCCTCCTCCTTTTCTTTCTCCTCCTTCTTTACCATTTTCTCGAGGACTGCTCGCTTCAGGACGATTCGGCAGTTCGCCCTCCATTTCCTCCTCCTCTTCGTCTTCCTCTTCTTTGATGTTCGTCTCCTCGTCCTCCTCATCTTCTTCGTCCTCCTCGATCGGTTCCGGCTCCGACTCTGCGTCGCTTCTGGAGCGCGACAAATCGAGCACATCATCATCGGTGGTGAGCGGCGATGAGTTGTAGAGGTGGCGTGCTTTGAGGTGGTGTGTCGTCAGGTGTTTCGAGGAGGCGGCTTTCAGATCGGGCGCTCGTGAGAGGTTCAGTGGCTGCGTCTGCATGCCGTCCTCATCGTCCTCCGGCTGCTCATCATCATCATCTACGTCGCGACCGTACATCGCCGAGTTGTGTTGCTCCACTGACTGAGGCAGAATGCGATTGGTGACGCGCGGTTTCCGTCGAGACTTCGACACTGAATGCTCCGCGAGGAAGTGCGTACCTAAACTGTTCATCTGACTGCTCAGCGAACCGGCGGAAGAGGAGGAGAGCAGATGCGCCGGCAGACTGTGAGGCGAGGACTTGTGGCTGTGGTGGTGGTGATGCTGTTGCTGGTGGTGAAGGCCGCTGCCCGAATGATTCAGGTGCTGCTGGTGGTGGTTGAAGAAACTGTTCGAAACACGTGTGGGCACATTTGAGGAGGTGGTGGAGGAGACGGCCGTCAGCATGGGCATGATCTCATCGGCGGAGCCAGGGCGGCTGGAGGTGAATGAGCTGGGACTGGCGGAAGCGTGCAGCTGGTCGTACGCCTTCGGTCGCCGCCCCCGTCTCGGTTTGCCGATGTTGGCCTCGTCTTTGGGGCACTTGTGGTGCATGAGGTGGTGGCGACGACGGAAGCGGCCGTCGCACTTCTTGCACTGAAAGGGTTTCTCGCCCTTGTGGATGAGCATGTGAGCCTTCAGCTGGTTCGAATCGGAGAAGCGACTGGTGCACAGTTCACAGGCGTACGGCTTCTCGCCGGTGTGCACCCTCAGGTGGCGGCGCAGGTTGGCCACCTGCACGAACTGCCGGTCGCAGTGGTTGCAGTGGTACGGTTTCTCGCCGGTGTGCAGGCGCATGTGCGTCTTCAGGTGGTGGTCGCGGGTGAAGCGCTTGTGGCACTCGCGACACTCGAACGGCTTCTCCCCGGTATGCGTCCGCTCGTGGTTCTGCAGCACGTGCTTGTAGCCGAAACTGCGATTGCAAATCTGACACACAAAGACCTTCTCTCGGCTGCCGGTGGAGCTGGCCACCGAACCGGTGCCNTGTGCACCCTCAGGTGGCGGCGCAGGTTGGCCACCTGCACGAACTGCCGGTCGCAGTGGTTGCAGTGGTACGGTTTCTCGCCGGTGTGCAGGCGCATGTGCGTCTTCAGGTGGTGGTCGCGGGTGAAGCGCTTGTGGCACTCGCGACACTCGAACGGCTTCTCCCCGGTATGCGTCCGCTCGTGGTTCTGCAGCACGTGCTTGTAGCCGAAACTGCGATTGCAAATCTGACACACAAAGACCTTCTCTCGGCTGCCGGTGGAGCTGGCCACCGAACCGGTGCCCGGCGAGCGCAACGGTTTCGGGCCCGTCTTCAGCTTCGGTTTCCCCCCTCCGCCAGCCGCCGACATGCTGGAGATGGGCGAGCCGCCGTGTGAGCCGCCGTCCGAGCTGGAGGACTTTGACCGGGTGCTGCTGGCGGAGGTGAGGCCAAAGGGCAGTCCGGCGTAGTCCTGCAGCAGTCGCTCCTGAATGAGTCTCGCCTGCTCCGGATTGATCACCGGGTTGTTGAAGCCAAAGTTGGAGGCGGCCACGGCGGCGGCGGCCAGCGTGTGCTCGAGAAACTGCTGGCGCACCAGGTCGTCCAGCTGCTGGGGCAGTGAGGCGGCAATGGAGTGCGACAGTAAGGTGCCATTGCCGTTAGTGGAGCTGGTCACATTGGGCAGCGAGGTGATGGAGGACACCGAGGTGGG